TGTCTCTCTGTTTTTCTGTGTCTCTCTCTCTCTCGCTCATCTCTTTTCGCTCTATTTCTCTTTCTTTTTGTCTATCTCTCGCTTATCTCTTGTTTCTCTCTCTCTCTCTCTCTATCTCTCCGTCTCTCTCTCTCTATCTCTTTTTCTGTCTATCTCTCTCTTCCTGTCTCTCTCTCACTCATCACTCTTCTCTCACTCTCTCTCTGTCTATTTGTCTATTTCTCCCACACTATGTTCGCCTTGTTCACTCTCTTACTCTCATCTTCTCTATTTATCGAGCTCCTTCTCGATTTATCGATCCACTATAAGAAAATACACTTTTAGCAACCACTTTGTTTATCTCTCTCTCTCTCGCTCATCACTCTATCTCTGTCTCTCTCTCTCTCTATCTCTCTTCTTTATCTGTCTCTCACAAAATTAAAATATTTTTAAAATATTTAAAAAATTGATTTGAATTAAGTTTTGAAAAGAGTTTTGAATTATCTGTCTTCTTTATTTATTGAGCTCCCTTTCGATTTATCAATCCACTACAAGAAAATACATTTTTAGCGACCACTTTGTCTCTTTCTTGCTTATCATTCTGTCTCTTTCTCTGTCTCTCTATCTCTTTTCTCTATTCGTCTCTCACTCATCTCTCTTTCTCACCACCCATCTTCTCTACCACATTTATCACTACTGCAAATGCCATTTAACTACCACCACTCTTCTCTTTCTCTCTTTCACTCATCACTCTTCTTTCTCTGTCTATTTGTCTATCTGTCTGTTTGTCTGTCTGTCTGTGTGTCTTTCGTTCATCTTTCTTCTTTCTATCTCTCTCATTTGTCTTCTCTCTATGTCTCTCTCGCTCATCTCTCTTCTCTCTATCTCTCTCATCTCTTTTCTCTCTCTGTCTCTCTCGCTCATCTCTTTTTTCTCTCTCTGTTTCTCTCGCTCATCTCTCTTCTCTCTATCTCTCTATTTTTCTATTCTCTCTCTCGTTCATCTCTTTTCGCTTTCTTTCTATATGTCTCTCTTATCTCTTGTTTTTCTCTATTTTTCTATATGTCTCTCTCTATCTCTTTCTCTCTTTGTCTCTCTATATCTCTTTCTCTCTTTATCTCTCTCTCACTTATCACTTTTCTCTCTTTCTTTCTCTCTCTGTGTCTGTTTGTTTGTCTCTCACTCTTTTGTTTCTCTCTCTTTCTCTCTATGTGTCTGTCTGTCTGTTTGTCTCTCTCCCCCATTGTGTTCACATTACTCACTCTCTCCCTTATCGCTTCTCTATTTATTGAGCTCTCCACTACAGGAAAATGCACTTTTAGCGACCAGTTTGTCTCTCTCTGTTCTTACCCCCCTCTCTCGAGATAGATGGCGACGGCGGAGACAATCGGTGACTCCACCACCGTTCCTAACCTAAATGACTTCCCGGACCTCATCCTCCTCCTCATCCTCTCATTTCTCCCCACTCTTGATGCCATTCGAACCACCTGTCTCTCTCACAAATGGCGAAACCTCTGGTTCTCTCTCTCCTCTCTCAACTTCGACTACCCTCTCTTCCCTCCCTCCGACTTTTTCTCCGACACCCGTCGTCTCTTGGGTAGGTGAGGATGGAGGGTATGGTGAAGAAATATCAGCAAAAATTTAGAAAAGTCGTCTTCTCTATCTGTCTATCTCTCTCTTTTTCTCTATGTCTGTCTATCTCTCTCTTTTTCTCTATGTCTCTCGTCCATCTCTCTTCTCTCTATCTCTTTCATATATCTTCTCTCTCTGTCTCTCTTCTCTCTCCCTTATTTTTTTCTCTCTCGCTCATCTCTTTCTGTCTCTCTCTCTCTCTCTCTTATTTATCTATTTTCGCTCTTTTTTTTTCTCTCTCTGTCTCTCTCTTTGTCTATATCTTTTCACCCATTTTTTCGTCTTCTTCTCTCTCTTTTCTTTCTCTCTCTTATTCATCACTCTTCTCTCTCTCTCTCTGTGTCTCTCATTCATTTATCTCTTCTCTCATCTATCTTCTCTCTTTTTCATTGACCACAAAAAATTAACTTTATTTTAATGGAAAATATTATTCCTACTTTTACCAAATAAAAAAAAATTTGTTACGAGTTGCTCCACTCATGTGTAGTATTTATTATGCTAAAATAGCACAGGTGCTCAAGCAGCGTAGTATTGTTATTGTATTTGTAACTTGTTTTTCACCACCTATCAACCACCATTCACTAACTACTAATTTAAGTCAAAGTCACAAAAATAAATAAAAATTGCATAAAAAAAAAAAAAAAAAAAAAAAAAAAAAAAAAAAAAACACCGTCCATCTCTCACCATCTCACTCACCTCATCTATGACAAACAAAAGAAAAAACCCTAATTGCTGTCTATACCTCACTCTCTCAGTCTCATCTCATCTCATCACTGTCTCTCTCACTCTCTCGTTTCGTTGTTAATCTTCATGTTTTGCACCGATCGGCGATCACTCTCATCTTATCACTGTCTCTCTCTCACTCTCTCGTTGTTCATCTCATCGCACCGATCGTCTCACTCTCTCATCGCACCGATCTACTCACGGGTAAGCTTCTATCTCTCTCAATCTCTGTCTCTCTCTCTTGCCTCGATCTGATCTGAATCTGTGTTTTGTGTGTTTGTTTTGGTCTGAATCTGTGATCTGAATTTGTGTTCTGTGTGATCTGAATCTGTTTGATCTTAGATCAAAGGTAAGAGTATATGTCTGTTATCTAAAAATCAAGGTCTGAGTTATGATTCTAGATTCTTTACAGTGATTTTTTAAATGATTAGGATTTAATTTTATAAAAATTGAAAATTAAATTTAAATGTTTGTGTGGTTTGTGTGTTTTGGAATTAAATTACACGCTGCAAGTCTTCTTCTCAATTTTGGTCTCTATTATATTCATTTGCTTGATTCTGTGTTCGTATCCTATTTGCGTTCAAATTGTGCTTTTCACTCTGGAAATTTTAGTCTTTTTGATTATATATAGGATGGTGAAAGAGTGAAATTTTCATTTCCCCCTTTTTTTTGCTAATTGGAAGTGAACAAGTTTTTTGTTGGCTCTGTATTTGAAGGTTTTCGGTTCTTATAGCATGTTTGATTCCATTACCAGGAACTGTATTTTTTAAAAATAAATGTAGGAAATAAAATGACATGGAAATAAAATCATGGGGTCTTTTATTTTGTTCTGGATTTCTTCAATATGAAAAAAAGAATAATTGTTTGTGCGTGTGTTTAGTGAAGCAAAACAGTAAGGAATAGTGTATCATTGAAAAATGCTTGTTGTTCTAAAGTTTTCGGAAAGTTTGATGGTGAGTTTCGAGGAAAAAACAAATGTCATTATATATGTTTGTTTCTTTATTTTAGGTTTTTGAATTTTAAACAGTGGGGTCTTGCTGTTGGAAGTGTTTGTTAGTATGCCAATGGCTTATACTAACTTTGGAACCTTGGGGAAATATATATTACTTGTCATTTTTTTTATTCCAATTTGGGTTTTAGAACTGCTTGATGTAGCTTTATCTGCTTGTCATGCTTTAACAGTATAGTTACTTATATCAGCGGATTACCTATCACTACAAATCGTCTTTCTCTTTCATGAACATGTGATGTGCTAATTAATCAACCTGCTATGTAGAAATATATTTTTACCATAAAACTGTTGGTGAAAGATGGTTAAATGTATCATTGCTTGCCTTGAAGAAGATGGTTTCTACCTCGTTCATTGTCATTTTTCAATCATAGGAGCTTCTTTATGGTTTCAATCATTTCAAAAATCAGCATTAGCTTAGAACTGTGATGGTGAGCTAAGCTAAAATACTGCTTAGATGTTTTTAACAGATAAATTTGGTAGATGGAAATTTGAACAGTTGCCACTTCTACCACCCTAGCACCAAGTGTCTAAGAATTGGGTGTAGTTTGATTTGGTTGTTTGGAATTTATGAACTGATCTAACATGGTCATGACACTTCACTTAATCAGTTAATAGACTAAGGTTTCTTAATTTGAGAATATGATAAATAAATTTTTGACTCTCTTTTTTATTTATGTTTTATTTTACTGCTCTTTGGGGGTGAAAATTGGGATTGTGATATTATTTTTTGGTGGTGTATTATCAAAATTTGAATGTTTGTAATGGTTTTAATCAATGTTGTGCACCTAAGAACATGTTTTCTAGATGTTATTGAATTTTAGGTTGGTTTTAAGGCTTAAAAAGTGGAGAATTTCGTCTAGTAGGGAATTGCACTATCTAGAGTATTTAGAAATGCTAGTAGAATAGATTAGATAATTCATAAAAATATAGTAATTGTAAGTCAATATTTGTTGTTACAATGGTAATACAAGTAATATGACAACACTAGTGGCTAATATAAGGTATGCTATATGTATTACCTCATTGATTCATGAGTTTACACGTAAAACAAATGACGTATATGACTCTTAATTTTTTGAATTAGTAGATTACCATTTAAAATTCATAGTTTTTATTTTAAATCAATAAGTTAGTAATATAGATTAATGAAAATAGGATTTTCAATTAAAGAATATGAAAATGAAGAATTTAAAAAGAGGAAAATAATTTAAAATAAAAGAATAATTTGAGTGTTAATGTTTAAGGAAGAATAAGAGATTTTCAGTTTAGAGTTTTACTTTTAAACATTTTTAATGTCTTAACAGAGGTAAAATTGAATATCGTACCATAACAGTGATGTAATGGCTTGTAATCTGCAGTTGTGTGCAGCTTTGACATTTTTTGTTATGGAGCTCCAAAATCCCTTTATGTAACAGCTATTACATAATGTAGTGGTCGTTTTTTAAACTCATGGTTGTCAGTCTTGATTGCACAGAGCCAAAGCTTTCTGGTTAATTCTGGTTGATGGCTTCTAGTTTAATATATAATGTCATGAGAACTAATTTGTTTACATTAGAAACACCTTGCATTGTATCCTCTTGTTTAGAGATTGAAAAACTTGGGCAAGTGATTGAATGTTTCCTCTTGGTTAAGTCTAAGCTTTGTTATATGTCTTTTCTCTTTTGGTGGTAATAAAAGCTTACTTACCAAAAAAACAAAAAAAGAATGTTACAGATTACTTGACAAAAGCTATGATATGGATAAATTAAAACATAGAAAATGATACATTGTTTATTTTTCAGATTTAAAAATTCAAGTATTGTCATGTTGACAAAAATTCAAAACCTATTGCATATTTTTGCGTGTCATTTGTTATTCTCCAATCATGAAACACTAAGTTCTCTGTTTTGTTTAGACATGCATGTCTATTACTTATTATTTTTTTATACATGATTAGGTTCATGTATGCCTGTTATATCTTATCTTTTATGGATTTGTTTTATCTTAGCATCTTTTGTTTTAGTATGGCTGAAAAAATATGATATATATATATATATATATATTGTACCTGTATCTGCGCCTGCGTCTGCACCTGCACCTGCTGCTGCTCCTACCTCTACAGTTACTGCCATGTGAGTATTTTTCTTCTTTGGTTAACTTGTGAAGACTGAAGAGCATGATTTTTTTTGTCTGTTTATTTAATTTGGACAATACTGGTTACCTTTGTTAATCCAATAATGTGTGTTCAACCAGACCAGAGTCTAATGTCTATGGTCAAGCAACATCGAATTTGGTTGCTGGAAGTAACCTTGATGGAGCGGTCCGGCAAATTCTTGATATGGGTGGAGGGACTTGGGATAGGGATACTGTTGTTCGAGCTCTTCGTGCTGCTTACAACCCAGAGAGAGCTGTTGAATATTACTTGTATTTGATCTCTTTTGTGAATTTATTTTTCAAATGGGAAGTGCAGAAGCATGACGAAAATTTTTGTTTTTGATTTACGTTATTTAGATTTGTGAACAACATTATGTATTGGATAATTTTGTTGATGTATTGTTATGAATGGAAGAATATTTTAATTATGGATGAATTATTATTTTTATACTGGACTTTTTATATTATTATGTAATTATTGATTTTTTTTTTTAGTTATTTTTCATTTAATACAGGTTATTTTCATATATTTATTTATTTATTTTTTGAGAGGGTAGTCCACTCACCTTCTCAAATAGGGGTTTTTTGCGACGGCAGTAATGCGTCGCAAAAGATAGGGCATTTGGTTGAAAATGAGGACTTTTAGCGACGGTGTAATTTGCTATCGCCAATAGTGCTTTAGCGACGGCACCAAGCGCTGTCTCAAATAACCCTTTAGCGACGGTACTTGTGCCGTTGCAAATACCCCTTTTAGCGACGGCAAAACAGTGCTGTCTAAAAAAAATTTCAAATTTTCACACGTTAATGGCGACGGCATTTTTCCGTCGCAAAAGGCTTCTTTGCCGTCGCAAACCAAAGGCGACGGCGTCATACCGTCGCTAAAGCCCTTTTGCAACCCCCTCTGTTGCGACCCCCCACTTGCCGTCGCAAAAAACCTTTTGAGATGGCGTTTTGGGTATTTGCGACGGCATTTTACCGTCGCAAAAAATCAATTTTTTTGTAGTGTCAGGTCTACCTAAATAAAAAAAATAAAAAAATTGATTTAGTTAAATAGGTTGAGTTGAGACGATTAGTAAGCTGTTTAAGTATCATTTGCAAATTTAATAAATTTTAAAATATTAAGTTTGACTTGTTTAGAAAACCGGTTTCAAACGAATTTGTTTATTTCTCTAAAACAATCATTTTATGAATAATAATTGGATTTATTAGACTTTGTACCCTTAAACTATCATCAAATTATCTATTTAGTCCCTAAATTATCAATTGTGTTTATTAGGTCCCTAAAGTATATAAATCAAAATCTATTTAGTCCATAAACTATTGATTGAATCCATTAAGTCTCTAAAGTATTTAATTAAAACTTATTTAGCCTCTAAAAGGATTATTAAAATAAAATATATGCCCATAAATATTATAAATTAGTAAAACACCCTATTTAGTCAAAAAATTCTTTTTTTTTTTTAAAAAAAAAGCCTTAAATTTTTATTCTGTCTTTGAAAAGTGGGCGCTAATCCATGTATTGAATTTCCTTTATAAGGATAAATGTAATTATCTATAATATTTTTTTACTTATCTTCTATAGTAGATACGTGCTTGCCGTAATATTTAATATTATATGTTAGATTTCGTTTATAATTTCTAATTGATTGTTTTTAATTTTTTTGCTAAATTCTTTTTATTACTTAATTAATATATTATTTTGTTCTATTACTATTTGCGCAGAAGTGTTATTATTTAAATTATCCAATTCTGGTTCTTCGGTATATTTAATATTCATATAATCTATTAGTAAGACTAAAAAATCAGACTTTAATATTAATTTAAACACACAATGAAATAAAATATCTCTTAAAGACAAAATAAAAATTTAAAAGATTTTTTTGTAATAAAATCTTAATTGGAGAGGGTTTTTTACTAATTTATAATACGTATGGATATATATATTTTATTTTTGTAATCCTTTGAGGGACTAAATAGGTTTGAATTAAATATTTTAAGGACTTAATAGATTCAATCGATCTTTTATGGACTAAATAGACTTTGATTTATATACTTTAGGGACTAAATAGATTCAACTGATAGTTCAAGATTAAATAGATAATTTGATAATAGTTTAGGGATAAAAAGTGCAATAAACCCATAACAATTTTTTTGATTAATTCCAAATACTTAAAACTTGGCTAATTTAAGCTTAAAAAAAAAAAAAAAAGTTTATCCATAATATATAAGTTCAGCTTTGGGATAATTCTCCAGAGTGATGATAACTCATCATACTTTCTTTTCTCTTTTCCATGGAGGTTCCATCGGCTTGAATTGATTGCTTTTTAAAGTTGTAATAAATCAGCACCCAAAATCATGCTACAAACAATTGACCCATTCATGCTCCATGGCAATTTTTTTTTTTCTAAGGGTTCGGGCTTACTTCCCATCCTCGTTTGGGTATTGTTCAGGCCGTGGGACTAAATAAAGGTTTAGTTCCAAAAATTCGAATCAATTATTTTGAAAAGCCCTTTGTTTATATTGTTCATGCGAAAAAAAAAAAGGAAAAAGAAAAGAAAGATTGATCAGACAATTGTAACCTTTGTTTATATTGTCCATGCAAAAAAAAAAAAAAAAGAATTGATGAGACAATTGTAACTTGTTTATTTTATCGCATGTCTCTAAAAAATCTATTGTTTTTGGACAAATACAATTGAAATAAAGATATTACAATTATCGAATTAACTTAATTTTTTTCTTCGATGACATACACAAAGAGTTCTACAAAATAAACAGTTCAGATCATTAAAACGAGACTGGTGATAAACCCCACTGTCACGGCCTAAAATTCGGACAATTAAATATCAAATTAGGGCTAAACCCCAATCAATATTCCATCATCCAAATCCTAGGGGTGAAACAAAAAAAACTAAACGCCAACCAAACTATCTACCATAATTTCATAACTAACCGATACCTCAACATTCAGGTAGCAACAACCAGTCAAAACAATTTAAATAAAGTATGGTTACAAACCATGCCAAATTATTCCAATACTAAAGTCATAAAAAAAATAATAAATACATAAACTAATATCAACCCTAAGCCTAAGAAAACAAAAGAAGTCCAAACGACATGTCCAGCACTATAGTAAATCCAAGTCACCACCGTAGCCCCAACTAATACTGCAAAGGAAACTCAGCTGCGCTCAAACAGAATGCACCCGAGTTGCCAAAAGACAAAATGGGTCAGTATACAAGTATACCGATATGAGTACAAGATTTAACACCCACGTCTCTACCAGACACAAACAAAAATATATTAAATTCTTATTACGGGACAAGACAAGTAGTTCCAACCGCACCGAGACAAATGGGTAGTTTCCCGAGATACGGTGGCATTTAGTTTCTTGTCCTACACAACGAAATATAAATTGATTATAAAATAAACAAAATAGAAATAAAAATATGGTGGGTTAGCCCTGCATGAAAAGTTAGTATGACCCACCATCCTGCCAAAAAAATAAAGTTAGTACAAATTAATCATAAGTAACTTGCTGAAAAAGTATAAAAATGCACCGTTTCATGCTTAAATAATTCGAATTGACCAAAATTCAAAGAACGAAAGTTGTACAGAATCAAATTTCCTAAAAGATTGCGTGGACAAATTTAACAAAAACTGAACAGGTTGGGAGAAGAACTTGATATAAAAACCTAGACAATTTTCAACCGAAAAATTTGAAATTGAAAATGAACAGAAACTATCCTAAGATGAATTTTTTCGGAAACATTCAAAACATGAAAAGTGTGTAGAATAATGTTTTACTTTAGTTTACACGAAACCAATAAAAATGAGCTCGTTTAGTAGGTTAAAACAGCCTGTAAAATCTACATTGCTAAAATAAATCAAAACTATAATAACCAAGATTATCCGATTATAAGTTCTAATCGATCTTTTTAATAAAAGTTAAAACACAAAAGTTGTCTAGAATCACGTATACATACCTCTGCTCAAATCAGTACACATCACACTACACTAATAAACTCATAATTAAATTCTTTGTACCTTAACTCCACCACTTCGGCCCTCCACTTCTGGCCTACACATATATCCCATGTGCCTCCCGTATACCTAACACTGCTCTGAAGCCGAACTTGCACGGGGATATCGTCCCGAGTTTGACTCACACTCCCCGGATGGTTAGCATATACGTACGCGCGTAAGTCAAAGCACTCGTCTACTCATGAGAACGAGGCAACGATATATATATACAACATCTCACCCATGAGAATAAACATAACAATGCCAAGCTTAAGGCATTCAAATAAATCTCATAATTCTCACTTTTTTTTATACATTCTTTCTCACCATCACTCAAATAAAATAATAATTCATGGAGTCATGGTGGAGTATAAGGAATTTATCTATAGGTTCTTAATTAATTTTAATTTCATATAACCATATTAATTTTAGTTTCATATAATCATGAGGGTGATTACAACCATAAAATAAATTCATATAAAAACTCTAAATCTGACATACGCAACTAATCGAAATAATTAAAATCAATCAATCAACTAAAAACCCTAAACCTTACATACACAACTAAACAAAATAATTAAAATTAATCAATCATCTAAAAACCCTAAACTTTAAACACACAACTAATCAAAGTAATTAAAATCAATCAATTATCTAAGAACCGTAAACTTTACATACACTACTAGTCAAAATAATTAAAATCAATTTATCATCTTTATGTAAATATAAAATCAAACTAATATCAAATAAATAAAAATTAATAAATAAAAATAAAGAATTAAACATAAATAAAGGGAAGTGGGTTTTATACCCACAATATTTTTTTGAAGATCAAAGAATAACTTGGAAAATTAATGGAGCCACCAAAATAAAACCCTATCTTTTTTTTTTCTTCTCTACCTCAACCTAAATCTCAATATATAATAGCTTAATAAACTATAATAATATATTATATTATATAATACAACATAATTACAATATATATAAATATAAATATCAGATTAAATATATATATATATATATATCACCTCTCTTTTTTTATATATAACAAACATAAATATTTAAAGATTAATTATATATAATTAAATAACACATTTAATTAATTAATTACCACAATAAATTCATTAAATATCACATTAACTCACATGTAACCACACAATTAATAAAGCCAAAAATAAAATAAGATAATAATAACCATAATAATAATAAAATAATGACTTAAGAAAATTAGGGTCGCTACAATATACACACCTCAAAAGAATCTCATTCCGAGATTCGATAGGAGAGAGTACTAAGCAAAAAGTTCCGGGTGCATACGCCAAACTTTCTCTTCTAACTCCTAGGTAATATCGTTCTCATCCTTGCTCCACTGCACTTTCACCAAGTTCACTTTCTTCCGCCACAACTGCTTTACAT